TATGGGGTTAAATTTCATGCACGCATAAATTATTTCACTATAAATTTATTATACATGTCACCACTCTTACCACCTCGACTAATAATGCTGTGGTAACTAACACCTTCAAGATAATTCAATTTATAGGCGTGCGGGTCGTCATGTTTCTATACAAGATATGGCTAAAATGATGCATATTACCATTGAAACTTTGAATATAAAAACGATGACTTTCTCTTTTCTAGGTTTATTGTGACCTATCAAATAATGGCTGGACTCTTATTGCACGTTTCTCAAACGGTGATCCCAAACACTGGATTACAAATGGTTCTTTTTGGTATGACAAAATGATTCCACATGGGGACGTGAACAACCCTTCCACTAATGCAGATATGATTTCTACCGCTTTCTGGAAAGTTAAAGGCAATGAGTTTAAGATTACAAGAAGTAATGATGGCAGTCACACAGCTCTACTACAAACCACTTCCAATTGTCTTCAAGGCGGAACCTTTAGATCTAAAATCACAAGTTATGGGAACTTTCGTAATGGCGCTGTCTGGGGGAGTGACCAGTGTCGTGGAAGTTGTCAAGTTAGTTACGGCGGTGAGTACAAAACTACTGCAGGTTTTGAACAGTGCAGTTGCAGCAGCGATATTCAGAGCGGTAATTACATTGGGTTTTGGTGTGATTGGGATGGTGGTGATGGTGCAGTGATGATGATTGGTGGAGGAGGAAGTGGTTGTAACAGAGCAGATCATGGTATTGGAATAACAGAGCATGGTGCAGCAAAGTTTGGACCATCAGGAGAGGGTTACCTTGATTTTGGTCCTGAAGCAAGCAACAATCCTCCTCTTTCAACATATTCACTCAACCTCTGGGTTCGTTAATCTTGTCTGGTTCACTATGGGGTTCTGAGATGCTACTCGTGTGTGTGATGTATATTCTTTTTACGAGTATATGAGCCGAGCAACCAAAAAATTCTACTTGACCACGGCTGGGAATCGAACCCGCATTTTTGACGCCGCCCTGCCGTCTGAGCTAGAAGGTCAAGTTGGGATGTTGTTACATATTCATAATGTTATTAACATTTAGGAATCTCTTCCTTCGATACCTGATGCCTTGTAGCTAGCTCAGAGTATCGTTCTAGAAATACGAAGGTCGCGGGTGTCCAACCGTGGTCAAGTATAGATTCTTTGCTAGCCCGGCTCATACTCGTAACAAAATTAAACACCAGAACAGTAACAACACACGAGTGGAATCTCAGAAGAAGTCATATTGATACATCTGCCTGTCCCGGCTGGGTTTCGAACCGCGACTTTCGAAATGCTAGCTCGACGCGCTCTTCAAACTGAGCTACACCGTCAGGGTCGACGGAGGACGGCAATTGTGAACTTTATACTGAATATCGTAAACATATTCGTTTATATCATGCCGGCAATCGAGCATCGAATAATAGCTACTAGTTTTGCGAGTGTGATGTCGTTGTGAGAAATTTCATAATATCCAGTCCTCTATTGGCCCTGACCGTCACCGTGTAACTCAGTTGGAAGAACGCCGAGCTAGCATTTCGAAAGTCCTAGGTTCGAAACTCAGCCAGCAATTTTATGCTTGCGCGCAAATTATACGCATTCACTAAAGAGCATTAAGATAATGTATAGTGGTACATAATTTACAGTTATTATAATCTGATTGCGTAGCACCGAGTTGGCTATAAGTCATATGCGACGAGAGTGAGTATAGAATAACTGTTTTATTATATAGACAACTACTGAATTCACAAACACATCTGTATGGCAATATTTTGACACAATTTGCGGTATACCTGATAAACCACTGCTGCATGCTATTTCCTTAATTAAATAATACTTCAAACATTGCTAATTTTTTTTATATATTTAACTAGACTTTTAGACAAAACAAGTACTTGTTGATTTCATATCTATAAACTGACCTTGTTTTTAGTTCAGTCTAATTTCTTCAAAAAAATTAATATTCTGTCCATGTTTTTATCTTTGCTCTTTCGGCATTATTTTTCTTAAAAAAATATTTTTAACTGGTTTATGGTGGCTCGAAACAGCTTTCAAAAACTTCAAGTGTATAACAGTTTTTCAGTTTGAAACAATAGTTACTGTATTTTTAGGTTTTATGCAGCAGATATCAGGATGTTCATCTACTTTAACGTTTCTCCTTTCAAATATGTCAGTTTCGGTAACACGTGTAGTTCGTTGCTATGGCAACACATGCGTACCAAAATCACTGTAAAATAGCCTATTGCTTTCTGTAGTTGCAAAAGAAGCGCGGTTACCCCAATTTTTTTTCTTACATATTTTACTTAGAACACACTAATAATGAGCAAAATATAAAAATAATCTGTAACCTATTCAATAGATTTGCTCAGTAATGTATTATTTTAAATAAACTCTCCAATACATGGTGAAAAGCGGAGGGTGAAGTATCCATTGGTTACTTCGGCCTCCATTTTTTACTGTGTAGGCAGTGGTCGATCTCGAAAGCGAAAGCTACTTTGACCACTGCGATTATATTACTATATTCATACTCTGAAAGTTTTATTATAATATTGTACTCTTTGATATAAGCTATGTAAAATATTTGTGTACGTCGTGCGAATTTAATAAAATTGTTATTGTAAAAATTGTAATGCCTTTTTTTAAAAACCCGTAAAAATGACGTTGTCTTCGATATTTAGGAACTACAGAAGTTTCTTTATTTTTGGTATATTGAAAGACTTTTAAAGTACAATACGGCATGCAAAATTTCCACATAGGTCACCGGACAAAATATTGAGATATGGTGCATGCATTGTTTTTTCAAAATTGGCATTCCTACCATGTCAGAAATAACGTAAAATGGACGAGATGTAGCTAAGTCCTTTCATTAATATTCCTGCGGACACGAATGATCACGCAGATTGGTTCATATAGCATAATGTTTTGTGTGTATTAATATAATTATCGAGCCGGCATTAAAGGTGCCCCACAGTCCGATCTGCGCATGTGTACAAAGGAGCCAACTTTTTATGATACAAACAGTTTAACTATGTTTTGGGTTCTTGCATAGCCTGATTGTTGCTTCTTGATCATTTATTATACCCTAGAAGCTTGAAAATATAAATAGTTGTCGAATAAAGCTCAATATTTTGGACACAAAAATGTAAACAAAGGCTTTGTTCACATACGGACTGTAGGGCACCTTTAAGTATGAAAAAATTATTTGCTAACCTGTAAACAATTGCTGGAAGTGTTTTCATTGTGTTTAACTTTTTATTCCACTTAAATTAACTTAATGCTACGAAAAGCGAGAGTTTTGCGAAGCAGAAGTTTTTTAAATTAAAGAACTAATACCGAAACAACAGCGAAAAATATATTCGTAAAATAAATTGTTCAGACAAGTTTGCAACGAAAAACAATTGAATTTGCAATCAACAAGCACTTATACTTTACTACCAAACATTTGTGTAATATATCTGAGATTTTCTGTGAGATATACCTGTTCTAAAACCATTTCTTTCACTCCGAGTTGCAAACAAAAACATTTCAAATTTTCAAGGCCAAGTGGTTTTTGGCCGAGAAAATTGTTAAAACATTATACAGAGATTAAGAATTACTGAATTATTGCTTCAACAACGATATTTTATAAGCCTCTGAATCATCTCCACCATATAGATTACGAAGTTCTGTGGGTCTATGTTCGTCCAAGTAGACTTCCCCGCGGGTTTTCCTGCTTGATACTTGGTGTCGTTTACCATCCACCTAATGCTAATGATGATGAAAT